GATAAAAAAATAATATTATAGAATAAAGAGAGTTAATTGTGTAAAAAGTAAAACTTAACAAAAAAAAAAAAAAAGACACATTTAGAGGGTTTTGGTGTATAAATTAGATTTTTTTTTTTGAGTTTATTATAATTTTGGTTGTGTTTGGTTTGTTAGATGAAAATGTTTGTTTTTAACATATATATGGGATGGCTTATCAATAAGTCTCTCAAATTAGTATACAAATGTTAGTTTATATGCTCGAAAATTATTTTTATGGTCAAACAAAAAAATTCAAATAGCAATAAACTCAAAAATTAAAATATATTATGTCATATATAGGATGGCTTATCAATGAGTCTCTCAAATTAGTATACAAAAGTTAGTTTATATGCTCGAAAAACTATTTTTATGGTCAAACAAAAAATTCAAATAGCAATAAACTCAAAAAATAAAATATATATTATGTGGGACAAAGACAATCTCAAGAGTGTTCCCGCGAAAACTGATTAGAAGCCTACCTCTGAAGAATTCCAAACCCTTATCTCTACACCTCGGTTTCTCTTCTTTCTTTCACTTAAAAATGGCGATTGGCAAGTTTCAAAGACAAAGACCATCATTTTTCTTCTTCGTTAAGCTTCCCCATTACCCAATTCTTTCATTTTCCTTCCTTTCTCATTCTCCCCAATTCTGTGCCAAAGAAAAGCATCAAACTTCAGTATTACATCGGTTCATAAAACCCACCCACAATTCCCTCAATACAACTACAACTCCATCTTTCTCTCTCGTCTTCAGCTCGATTTCACAAAACCCCATCAAAATCATTTCGTAATTTCACCTCCCTTGAGATCAATCTCTTGAAAATGTCATCTGATCACCAACCGCTTGATGAAATGCCATCCCCGATGCCAGTGGCTCTTTCAAAGTACTCCAAAAGGGTGCTGTTGAAAACTATACTAGATCGTCCAGACGGTGGTTTGGGGTTGCTTGATCAGAGAGTTGTGGTTGGAGGATGGGTTAAATCTTCACGAGAAGTGAGGAAAGACCCTCCGCCTCCTACCACACAACCACCTGCGGCAGTGGGTGGTGATCACACCAAGGAGCATACCGGAGGTAAAGACGTGAAATGTGTTGAAGTTTTTCAATCGCGAATTCCTTTCCTTCGAACCATCATAAAAGTCTTCGGCGGAAACACCGGCCATACCAAGGAGAAACTCGAATCAATCTTCCCAAAACAACCACCTCCTTCCATTTCATTTCTACAAATTAGCGATGGTTCTTCCGTCATCAGCCTTCAGGTAAAAACTAAACCAGTAAAAAAGTAATTAAAAAACACACCTATATACCCTTTTCATCTTCTTTTAATCAAACTCATTCTTTACTACAGATCATGGTCGATTCTTCCATAGCTCCTTCAACCCTCCTCATGCCCACCGGAACTTGTATTCTAGCAGAAGGCGTTTTACAGAAGCCTTCATTACAAGGCAAACACACCATCGAGCTCAAAGCTGAAAAATTGCTGCATATCGGAATAGTTGATCAAGACAACTATCCTTTATCCAAGAAAAGCTTACCTTTAGCTAGATTGAGAGATTGCGCTCACTTTAGACCTAGAACAACCACTGTAAGAAACAAAAAAAAAAAAAAAAAACTCATCTTTCCCTCCATTTTCCTTCCAATTTCCAAATTAAAACATAAAATAATCAATTTCATGTTTCATAGGTGGCATCTGTTATGAGGGTTCGTAACGCTCTAAATCATGCAAGTCATACATTCTTTCAAAACCAAGGCTTCGTTCATGTGGAGGTGCCGATTTTAACTGCTACAGAGACTGAAGGACTTTCGAAGAAATTCAAAATTTTTACTGTTTCTGGTAAAGAAGTGAAACGGGAAGAACCCGTTTCAATGGATGATACAGCGGATATTAGTCTTGAAACTGTAAAGCTTTCGATTATTGAAAAGAGCAAGAAAATTGAAGAGCTTAAAAGAAGCGATAGCAATAAAGAAGCACTCGATGCAGCTGTTCACGATCTTCACAAAACAAACGCTTTGGCTGCAGAATTGGAAGCGAGGTCAAAGTCAAAGTCAAAATCAAAATCAGAATCTCATAAAAAAACCGAAAGTTTCAAAACGTACGACGAGTTTTTTACAAACCGAGCTTTTCTTACAACTTCGGGAAGTCTTCATCTCGAGAGCTGTGCGTCTGCTTTAGGAAATGTGTATGCATTGGGGCCAAGATTTCATGTGGATAAATCAGATTCGAAGAAATATTTACCAGAAAGATGGATGATTGAAACTGAAATAGCATTTGCAGAACTTGAGGTTAAGATTTTTTAGTTTGTTTTTCATATTCGATCTATAATTTTAATGACTTTGTGTTGTTTTTTCAGGATGTGATGAATTGTGCTGAAGATTTTTTGAAGTTTGTGTCACATTCGGTTTCGGAAAATTGTTATGAAAATCTTTACTTTCTTTCAAAACGAGTTGATAAAACCCTTATTGATCGCCTTCAATCAATGACATCAGCGTCATTTGAAAAGATCACTTATGATACAGCAGTCGAAGTTTTAAACAAGGTCTTTTTACTATTACTGATACTTTTAATTACTTTTAATGTTAAAAAAGAAATAAAATGTAACTCTTTATGATCGATCGATTGTTTCCTTTAGGTTACTGACAAGACTTTTGAGACAAAAATCCAATGGGGTGTGGCACTAACCGAAGAACACGAAAGGTTTGAGTTTCAAGAAAATATTACTTATTTTCTCATTTTGTTTTTTTTTTTTTCTGTGGAATTATTATTAAGTTTCTTGCATTTTGTTGACACAGTTATTTGGTTGATGAGTTTTATAAGAAGCCGGTTATTATCCACGATCACCCTAAAGAACTAAAGCCTTTCAATGTGCGATTAAATGATGATGGAAAGACTGTTGCATCCTTTGATGTGATTGTACCAAAGGTACATTTTCACATTTCTATAGGGCCTATTTTTGTGTTTGGCATCATACTCATCATCAAAAGACGAAAATACCCCTAGAAAGTTTGTCGACTTGACTCATGTTTGATCTTATTTTTCAGGTTGGAGCTCTCATAAGGGGAAGCCAGAAGGAGGAACGCCTAAACCATTTAACGAAAAGGTAACTCGACTCATAGTAAAACCCGTGCAAAAAAAAAAAAAAAAAAGCAATAGAATTTCATTGGGTAGATTTTTCAAAGTATGATACCTTAATGAGATTTTATTTTCAAAATACAATACGTTAAAGTATGATGCTATTATATGTTGTAGGATCAAGGAACTAGGGTTGAGGAAAGATCAATACGAATGGTATTTAGATCTTCGGAAGCAAGGAACAGTGAAGCATTCGGGGTTTAGTGTTACATTTGATGTTATGGTTCTTTTTGCTACGGGTCTTAATGATGTCCGAGATGTGATCCCGTTCCCTAGACAACATGGAAAACTCCATAACTAATCAAACCTTGAAGTTGAACCTTAAATTCTTCTCAAAGTTGTCATACAAATCTTGAATCTTCATGTTTATAACTTATACTTGTATAAAGTTCTATAGTGAAATAAAGTTATGGTATTGATGTTATTATTTGTTATGAATGATTGAGGTAAACCTAGTCAAATTATATATGGTAAAAATATATACCATATAATCATAATCATAAGCTAATATGTGGTGTCAGAACATACGTTGGTGCACAAGCTAATTGAAAATTAGATGCAACGTATCATCCTTACAAAATATAATAAATAACCGAAACAAACAATATTATTAGGCAGAAACCAAAATTGAGGCAGAAACCAAAATCGGTGTAGCGTGTTAAGATTCCGTAAATCACGCATTTATTCTCTGCTAAACGCCCCTCCACTCCCTCTCCAAATATATAATAAGTTTTTTTTTTAATATTCTACAATAAATATAAATATATTTAAAATTATGCTCTAGATTATTTAAAATAAATAGTTAAATACCATCTTTTAAAGATTTGTCTTGTTTATTTATTATTAATAATTACATTCTAATTATTTTTTAGTCAAATCACAACGTTTTCATAGGAGAGAGCACCACCCATCCTTTACGGCGTGATGACATGGTGAGGAGCTCACATGGTCATGGTTAACCACACAACTTCTTCCCTCGTTTAGATTTCACATTCTTCACCCATTTTCATGCTGACCATATCGGTGAATACCGATCATCTTTCATGTGATGTTGAGATGGTGAATAAAGAAGGGTGTGATAATGGTGGCCTGATCACTAAACCGTTAGCCTAATGGTTAATATTAACATCCTGTGTAAAGTGAACCTTATAAATCAAAGTGCTAATAATTTGTTTTTAGGATGATTATTTATGAGTATTTATTTGTCAAATAATCAAACTATTAAATTTAAAATATAAATTCATAGCTAAATTTGTTAGGATTTAAAGTTAAAAATGATTTTTATCAAAAAAAAACTTATTGACTTATGAATATGGAAAAAAAGATTTTAAAAAAATGTTTAATTTAACTTTTTAGTGATAAAAGTTAATAAATTAAACTATATTTGGCTAACTTATTCATTTTTGTTTGTTTTTTATTCTAATAAATCAGAAATCATTCCAAAAACCGATGTGGAAAAAGAAGACTTTTGTTTGTTTTTTATTATAATAGATCAGAAATCATTTCTTATTAAATATCAAAACATTTCTTTAACTTATTGACTTTTCAAAAAATCATTAAGTTAAAAATAAAGATGAAATCTCAAACACACTTTAAAACATTCTTAAAGAGTAATTTGCATCAAAACTATAATATAAAACCGAGAGGGAAAAAATTAAAAAGAAATGGTAAACTTTTTGCAAACTTTGTTATATGAATCTGATTTAGAAAAAAAAATCTAAAAAAAACAAATAAAGAAAACCTAAAAACTTGAATAAAAAATATACATGAAAAACTAAATAAAAGATATAAAACAATAAAAAATAAAAACCTATAAGATAGTTTTTATATGATTTTCTAATCTAAAGTATCATCTCATTCCATAATTAATCATTTGATTCTAATTTTTCAACGAGTAGGATTTGTATTCCTTTAAAAAGTCTCACGTCTCGAGGACACCATTATCACAACTTTCTCTTTCTAGAAATGGAGGAAGGAGAAGGCGGAGAGGAGTACCTTTTCAAGATAGTCGTGATTGGTGATTCCGCTGTCGGAAAATCAAACCTGCTGTCGCGTTTCGCTAGAGACGAGTTTGATTTGCACTCAAAGGCAACCATTGGCGTCGAGTTTCAAACTCAGGTCGTAGATATCGACGGCAAGGAGGTTAAAGCTCAAGTATGGGACACCGCCGGTCAAGAGCGCTTCCGTGCCGTCACCTCCGCCTATTACCGCGGCGCCGTCGGTGCACTCATTGTTTATGACATTAGTCGCCGTACTACTTTTGAAAGTATTAAACGGTGGCTCGGTGAACTCAACAGTAAGTTTTCCCCCTTTTTTCTTTTTCGATTTCAATTCACTCCTTGTTCAATTTCCCTCGTTCTATCGTTTTTCTTGGATTATTAGTGGATATGTCATTTGGTCGCAAAAGGATTAGATCTCGAAGATATTATGTTACTCCTTCCATTCGTTGAAAACAATTTGACTTGCTATTCACGATAAGAAATTGAAAAGAAATTGATTTCGTATTTTGTAACAAGTCCTTTGAATCGGAGGATGTTGTAATTTCACATCGAGCTTACGTTTTGGATCTAGAGAAACCATTAAACTTTGGTTGAATGTTATGAATCTGGGTTTGATTAGATTACATTTAACGTGTTTGCAGCTCACTGTGATACATCAATGGCAACGATGCTGGTAGGGAACAAGAGCGATTTGGAGAATATCAGGGACGTGAGCATCGAAGAAGGCAAAAATCTTGCAGAAGAGGAAGGGCTTTTCTTCATAGAGACATCTGCACTCGATTCCACTAATGTTACAACAGCTTTTGAGATCGTGATTCGTGCCATTTATGATAATGTTAGAAGAAAGGTCCTTAACTCCGATTCCTACAAATCTGAAGTGTCTCTCAATCGTGTAAGCCTAGTTAAAGATGCTAACACAAAGCAAAGCTATTGTTGTTCCAAATGATCTTTTCTCGTATCATCCATCTCAGTACTACTCTTGTCCAAACATGATTGTGGGAAGATTTTCGAGTTTTTGTTGGTAGTTACTTTTGGAATTTTATGTTTTGAGTTTAATTAGTGGGAGTCCAATCTTTCATTAAGTGCAATATCAATTGTGTAACTTTTACAGATGATAAAATGAGTCAACTATGTTACATAAATTCGAAGACTTAATGGGCGCGCATTCATATTATCCATGATAAGAAATTGGTTGAAATAAGTATATTCAATGCCAATGGCACATACCACGTGGAGAGTGAAAGGACATACATACATAGGGGGGCTATACCTTTGCATTTGTTTTGAACCATCAACCTTCAATGGAGTGGTACAAAAGTAACATAACTCCCTTTATTGGAGTTATAACTTTTGTCGGTTGAATAAAAAAAACTTGTTATTATATAATTAAGATCATTACGAAGTTCGTGTTATTATATATTAGTTATTGTAAAATGTTATTGTATTACTCAGCTTTAGATATTTACGTTTTTATGTATGTAAACTTTTAAAAGTTAATCTACATGTCTTCAACGAACCCATCTTTCCGTTGGGATCTATAACACCCGACAAACAACATTCCTGTGATTTCTTCGACACCCTAGATGATCCATCTCTTATCTCTAGTCATCTCCTCCAAACACCCACCACCAACACCTCTCCACCCTCTCCTCCATCTCCAACGGCCCCTCCACCTGTATCTCCGCGGCGGAATCAGGATCAAAGTAAATGGAAGTAAAAGGGTATCTCTAGATTTTTTCCAAAAAGAGTTCCATTGCTGAAAAAAAATTCGAAAAATATTACACTAATGAAACTTTTTTGAAGGGGTATTCCGAACTACCCTAGGAACCACCTAGCTCGGCTCCAGCTCTATCCACCATTGATCCAGCAGCCACCATCTTCCTCATCTGTTGTTGCCTCGGGATAGTCTACATTGGATGTTCATCCACTCCCGCAACTATCATGGCTCAATTTCAACCCACTGCCGCCATCATAGGATCCACATCCATTCTTGCTTCCGCTTCCACTCATCCTATGACTACTTGTTCCCATCACGACATCACAAAACTCATCCAAAAGCTTAATCTGCATGTTGAGTCTCTCCCCCACTCCGAGTAATTACTTATACGTGTTATGTTACCATAACCGGACTAACGTCATAAAGAGGAATTTAATGCTTTGATTGCTACTAGAACGTCAATGCTTGTCCCTAAACCTCTTTGAAGCCAATATATATGGTCAATTGCATGCGGTTATGCAAGTAGAAGCTTAATGCGGATGACTCATTATCTCACTTGCAAACCGGAGAATCCAACGACCCGAAGTTGATTGTGACGTGACTTTCACTCTCGTGGTTAAAACCGCCACCATTCAGATTATACTCATTGTGGTCGTTTATCATTAGTGGCCAGTTCATCAGCTAGGTGTGAAGAATGCATAATGCATATATTTTTACAGAATCTTCATAAGATAGTATACATGTATCAACACCTAGGGTTTCGAGATTCTAAACCACCCGATCATGCCTGCTTACTTGCAAGAATCCCAATATGGTCTTAAACAAATCCCACAAACATGGTTTCACAAGGTTGCTCAGTTATCACACATCACACAGTTTATCACACAGCTTAGCTTGACTTCACTCATAGCAAGACAAGTTCTTTATTTATATATCATCAGGATTCTTAGGTGTTGTTTGTTTTTTGGAAAAAACCTCTTCAAACCTCTTACTGCTGCGCGGCGCAGCACACGCGCAACACTTTTCATCTTGCAACTGTTTGTTTTTTAGAAGTCTTCTGAGTCAAAAACCTCTATGCGTGCTCTGTTTGACGCAACACTTGTACTGCCTCTTCCAACCTCTTATTCTTCTTATTTTATTGCTGAAATTTTGATTATATGTTATTAAAATTTTATTTCATATTTTTTCCCCTTTTTTTCATTTATTCTTATTGAATTTTTTTTTTCATTTTTTTTATATTCAATAATAATAATTTCTTGATGAAATATCATTATTTTTTACTGAAAATATCTTTATTTTTTGTTGAAATATCATTCTTTTTTACTGAAATATCATTAATTTTTACCGAAATGTTATACATTATTAAATTTTACGTATTAAAAAGCTATTTTCGGTTTATAAAATTAGTTTATTTTAATTTTTTAATATCTACAGCAATATGCAGATGTTAAAAAAACAAACACGCTTCTTATTATAGTCTGCAGCCGTTTGGTCCACCTCTTCTACTGCAGAGGGTTGCAGAGGTGGTCCGCAGACTTTATGAATTTTTGCTTTAGAAAATCAAACAGCACCTTAGACTGCATATATTTTTTATACATGGATGACATATTGTTGTCAACTTCTACCGGTTTTCTTTAGCGAATTATAACAATATTGGATCAATAAATTACTTTCTTGGCATTCCAGAGTCATTCGTGACCGGCATGAAATGTTCCTGATTCAGTAAAAGTACGCCCACCAACATTCTCACCAAAGAAAATATGCTCAACTAAAACCCAATAAAGGCTCAATACAAAACCCTGGCTAACGTTGATTACTTTGTCCTTCCGGTGACAAAGCCTAATTTATATTGTAGCATTGTTGGTACTTTGCATTACTTGACATTTATGCATGAAACACACTTATTAGGGCATCCACAATGCATTAAACTTATTAGAGGTTGTACATTGATTTTCCTACAATACATTGAACTCAATAGAATTCAATGGAATATATATTTAATAGTTAAAAGTTTCATCTTTTCCATTGAAGAGTTCAATGACCATTGAACTCCATATCTATTGAATGCCAACATGACATCTTATAATGGTAAAATTTAATCCAATGAATGCCAATTAGACATGTCATCTCATTCAACTCTCCTATTAAACTACGCATTGTGGATGTTCTTAGCCTAGACAAAAAGTTTTAATAAATTAATTTATGTTTACTTATTTAGAACTCCTAATTAACTATAAAAGGTTATTTACCCTTTTACCCTTACTTTTATCTAAAAATAAATATACATGGTTACGTGGTTTTGCATTAACTCGATCCAAATTACCATTCTTCTGCAAGTATTATATTTGAATTGAATCTCTTATACAGTTAAATTAATTAAATGATTAATGCATGTGCATGTTTGTTAATACTTAATAGCAAATGAAAAAAAAAATATTTTAGAAAAAGTATATGAACCTGCTGAAGGGGCATCTTAAACACTTCACTTAATTTTTTCATTGTTTTATTTCGATGCATTTCTTTTGATTTTTCATTTTATATTTATCGGCATATTTTGTCAACCACTAAATAACAAATTGTTATTTTATTACATTTTGGTATAGAATAAACCAATGCAAACATATTTTAAAATACTGTTTTGACATCAGATGTAACATCCGATTCGAAGTTCTACTTCCTTGGTCGCTTAAGTTTGAGATTTTTGGCAAATTTGGTCCCTCGTACGTTGGGTGTACATTTGGGTACGAGATCGCTATGATCGCGGAGGGTTAACCACGTACGCTGGGCGTATGTGTTGTACGTTGGGCGTACGTCTACTTAAGTTAAACCCTAATTTCCAGGGTTTGAACACTATTTAAACATCATTATGGCCTTTGGACACCTGCCCTCATCAGCCTCCATTGTTCATTTCATCCTATTGGAACCCTAATTCATCCTTTGAGAGTTCTTGAGCTTTGGAAGTGATTTTGGGGCATTTTTGGGTGTATTCAAGAAGAAGGAACTTGGAGACCAAGCATTTGTTGAGGTTAAGATTTTTTAGATCCAGAGTTTGATGGGTTTTGAGCATTACAACAATCCTATGGTGCACATGCAACCCTAATGCTTTGGATCTAGGTTTTCTCAAGTTATACATGCAATATTAAATTATCCAAAGCATGAATCCTAACTAGCATACATTTTTCAAGATTTACAACATAAAACAAGTTAGATAAATACCTCTTTGTTGTAGCTTGTAATCTTTACCTTCACGAGCTTAGTACCTTAAATGTGATACTTCTAATAAGTCACAAACACCAGAAGCAAGTTGAAAGAATATTGTGACATCCCCATTTTCACAGACAGAAAAGACCGATTTTGTTTATACTTTATAAAAATCAGAGTACTTCTTTTAATAAAAATGTTACGGAATTTGTTCCCAGAAAAACACGATAAACACGTTATTAAAACATTTTCGAAGAAGCGTATTTTATTCATTTCAAAACGTTTGGGATGTCATCGTTAATACATAAACATAAGCATAAACAGAACTTACATTTATTTACACTAGTGATCTACATCTCTTTAAATCTCTCAGTGTAAAGTGATTTCGTATCAACACCTGTGATATAAATAAACTGAGTGGGTCAGGTTGGGAAACCTGGTGAGTACATAGGGTTTTCAACCCACAATAATATAATTATTATGTTTAAACAATCAAACAATCAACCCAATTATCCATCCCCATTATCTTCTTTAGTCTTAAGGATTTACCCTAAGAATCAGTTATTCCTCGTTTATTTTTCCTAAGGTTCATCATAAGGAATCGACACGAAGTCCATCAATACCAAGGCTTATAGAATATATCTGGTGAACACGTAGTCCAAAACATCTGGTAAACACTTAGTTCAAAAGTAACTAGTGAACACACTTAGTTCAAAATACCTAGTGAACACACTCAGTTCAAAGATACATAGTGAACACACTCAGTTCAAAAATACCTAATGAGCACCTAGTTCAAAAACACCTACAGGTTACGAGCCTGCTATCGTTCCACTGGATCGTCTAGTATCGTCCATACTCGTCATCTATACTCCACTAGATGACTGGATCACTGACAACACTGATGTCTCCCATCGTGTTATCACAAAACAACTATTTCATCTACCCATGTTTTACCCAACACATTTTGTAGATATAAAATACATATACAGTTTAAATCATTTAAAACATGTATAAAAATCTTTCACCCAGCATAGACAGCAAGTATTCAGACAAGATGCACACATCGCACGTAATTTATATTAAAATACTTCATATCTATGTGTAAGATGAAATGGACTATGCACTCACCTGAAAGGTGGTGTCTCAGCACTCGGACAGCGCTTCGATACTCTCAAAACGATTTTTCCTTCGATAAAACCTAGTACCAATACCACTAGGGTTTAGTCTAACGATAACCGCAACAAATTAATTAGTTTGACTATTATTATTATTATATAAGCGTTAATAACACTCAATATAACTCATAATAATAGCCCAAATAATTATTTTAAGGACCTAATAATGTTCCTATAATTATTTGAACGCTATATTAAAAATTGCGTAAGCGTAACACACTTACAACAAATTTTATCGAAAATCGGAACTTATTTGGAGCAGCGTTTCGAAACCGAAAGGCTCTTTTTCTCGGGACTCCGGGAGCCTCGGGGCTTCCCTCGGGATCTAAGGGGTTTAACTAGGGCTTAGGGGGGGTTTAGAGGAGCTAGAGAG